ATCAAGGCAATTGAAACCGCATGAAGAAAATTATCCGACCCATGACCTTGAGCTTGCTGCAATTGTTTTTGGATTGAAACAGTGGAGGCATTTCTTGTATGGAATGCAATTTGCAGTATTCAGCGATCACAAGAGCTTGAAATACTTGTTTGATCAAAAGGAGCTGAATATGAGACAACGACGGTGGACCGAGTTCCTAAAAGACTATGATTTTGAATTGAAATATCATCCTGGCAAGGCTAATGTTGTAGCTGATGCACTGAGCCGTAAATCTGTGAGCATATCAAGCATGATGATCAGAGATTATGATGTGATTGAGAGGTTCAGAGATATTCAATTATCTAAAATCTTTCCATGTAAAATTTGTGGCTTTGAAATCACAAGCATTGAGAATGAACTGATGACCAGAATTAAAGAAGCTCAACTGCAAAATGAAAGTGCTAAACGACTGAAAGGTCAGAGTGGTGTATCCTGCAATGATGAGGGTATACTATTATATCAGGGTCGTGTTGTTGTACCTAGGCAGTTGGCGGAGGAAGTAATGACAGAGGCTCATAAGGGTCATTTCACAGTTCATCCGGGAGCTACAAAGATGTATCAGGACCTAAAGATTAATTTCTGGTGGCCTGGTATGAAGAAAGATATTGCCGAATTTGTCTCTAAGTGTCTCATTTGTCAGAAGGTCAAGATTGAGCATCAAAAGCCTTCTGGTATGTTGCAACCTCTGGATGTTCCTGAATGGAAATGGGAGAGTATCTCCATGGATTTCGTAGTGGGATTGCCGCGAACACAGGCTAGTTATGATTCTATATGGGTGATTGTGGATAGATTGACAAAATCCGCACACTTTTTGCCAGTTCGGGTAGATTTCTCTGCTGAGAGATTGGCTAGGCTCTATGTGAAGGAGATTGTGAGGCTTCATGGGGTGCCTGAGAGCATTGTTAGTGATCGGGACCCGAAGTTCACTTCTCGCTTCTGGGGAGCATTGCAGGAGGCTCTTGGCACTCAGTTGAGACTGAGCACTGCTTATCACCCACAGACGGATGGTCAGACTGAGAGGACCATTCAGACGTTGGAGGATATGCTGAGGGCTTGCACCCTGGAGCAGGGTACTGCATGGGATCGATATCTCCCGCTGGTTGAGTTTTCATATAATAATAGTTTTCATGCTAGTCTGGGTATGGCTCCCTACGAGGCCTTGTATGGTCGCAGGTGTAGGACACCTACTTGTTGGTCAGAGGTTGGAGACACAGAGCGGTTTGGATTGGATTTTGTTCAGGAGACTACTGAGCAGATCAAAATGATTAGGGATCGTCTGAAAAAGGCTCAGGATCGTCAGAAAAGTTACTATGATCTCAAGCATCGACCTCTAGAGTTTGAGGAGGGAGATCATGTGTTCCTGAAGCTGTCACCGGTTACGGGTGTGGGACGAGCCCTTGGAGTGAGGAAGCTGAGTCCGAGATTTATTGGACCCTACCAGATTCTTCGTAGGGTGGGACCGGTTGCCTACCAGCTTGCCTTACCTCCTCAATTAGCAAATTTGCATGATGTGTTTCATGTTTCTCAGCTGAGGAGATATGTAGCTGAACCTTCTCATGTGGTTCAACATGATAATGTTGAAATCCGGGAGAATTTGAAGACTCCTATTGGGCCACTAAAGATACTCGAAAGAGACGAGAAGAAGCTGAGAAATAAATCTATTCCTATGGTGAAAGTCCAGTGGGAAGGAAGGACGCCTGAAGAGTCCACTTGGGAGCGGGAAGATGAGCTTCTTCGGCAGTATCCTGAGTTAAAGGACAGGTACGTTCTTGATTTTGCGGACAAAATCGCTAAAAGGTGGGGTGACTATAATAGCCCTAACCCAATTAATTAGCCAATTACATGTAATTAGATAATTAAGCATGTTTTAGTGAGTAAAAATTAAGTATAAGGCTTAATGAAATGAATCTGAGTCACTTTGGAGTTAAAAAGTGTACTCAGTGAAAATTAAGGGGTATAAATAGGTACTGGCGAAAGTGCCCAAAATATAAAAATAAAATTGTAAATATTCCTAGAATAATATTCCAGACTTTTGGGTAAAGCTTGGTAATTATTAGAGTTAAATAGATAGACGAACTAATACCCCCACATTACCACTTAACATATGTTAAGTGACAAAAGGAGAAAAGAACCCATTCCCCCCCCCCCCCCCATTTTCCCGTCGTCGACAGAAACAGAGAAGAGAGGAAGAAGAGAGAAAGGAAAAGGAAAGGGAGAGAGAGAGACAGAGAGAGCAAATCTCAACCAAATTCATCTGTTCAAAAGCCTAAACCACTTAGATTCTTCCCCTCTTTCATAATCCTAGCTTTGTTTTGAGTGGGAGTTATTGGGGAGAGAGATATCAACCCTCCAAATTTTGCCCCTTTTGGTGAGAGTTGGGGTTTTGGGGTGATTCTCTCCATTGAAGCTTGGGGAGCGCTCATTGCATCGTTGTGTGGTCATTGGTGGTAAATTTCCACTACTTTGCACACTAAATCCCTAGATTTTTGCATAAGTTAGGGTATGTGAATAGTGTATTAGGGTTTTCATAGAAATGTGGTTAAATTGGCTATGCTCTAGGAAGTTTGAGACTTAGTAGATGTTATGAAAAATGCTAGAAATGAGCTTAGTAGTCAAATGAGTAGGTTTGGAAAATTGCAAGAATATGACACTTGGTTATGAGTTTTCTTGCATTGTTGAACCATTGTTTGGTTGGTCATTGATTGTATCCTTGTGTTGTCTAGGATTGAGGCAATTGGATCAACCTTAATTGACCAACCTTTGGAGCAAGCAATGGAGATGGATTAGTCCTTGAAATAGGTAAGTTCATCCTTGTGTTGTGGTATGAATAGGATAGCTTGGATTGATGATGAGTTATCCTTGAATGCAATATGTTAATTGCATTACCCTTGTATAGGTGTATGTTTGTAAAAGTTGATTGCTGAAACTGTTGGTGAAGAACAAAGGTCGACTGAAGCATTGAGGTAAGCCTTCGGACCTTGGGTGTAATTTCCTTGACTGTTCCACCAAGCCCTGAAAGGGTAGAGGTTGTGATTGTGTATATAAATGTAATAAAATAGTGTAATGCTTTGTTATACGTATGTGTATGCATTTGGTGTGGCATAGGATGGTGTTTCCCTATGTTGGTATGTTGCATGACGATGCGTAAATCATACTTGGTAGTTAGCTGGCCAGTAGGACTATTTGCATCTGAGTTTCCTTAGGACAGCTTGAGAGCTCGAGGGATTTCTCCTGGAGATGTTATTGCTCTTTGCATGGATATGTATTTACTGCATTATTATTGTTATTGCTATTACACTGATATGGAACTGTGGGGTGGAGAGATGCTCCAAGGACCCCTGGTTTACTGGATATATTCGTATATCTCACCCCGTGTTGTGGGGACCCCCTTTCAGGTAAGGATGCTGCAGCAGCCACCAGTGGCAAGTGGTGGTATCTGGATTAGCATATGCATGAAGTGTTGCAATTTTTGAGATTATACATGTGTTTTGTAGCTCACATGTATAGAATTGTAATTAATAAGCAATGATAGATTTATGAATTGTATATTGGAATGGACTTAGCCTATGCTCATGCCTTTGGTCATCTCTTTTGTTGATGGGAGCCAAGGGAATGATCATAGTGTTTTGTAAGCTAAGTTCCATGATTTGTAATGAATATGTACTGTAAATGATGCCTACTTGAAATTCAATATATGCATGCTTTTATGTATTGAGTTATTGAATTGGTTGGGCTGAGAAATCATATTAGGTACCTAGTTCTAAATTGGGAATTGTTGAGAAAACAAGGATTATGCTGCCCAAATTTTAGTACAAGCCATGAGGAAAAGGGCATGTATGTCCCTTTAGATGTGTTTGTATTATGCAAGAACTAAGAACCAATTATGGAGAGGAATTTATATGATAGATTTGGACCGTGGTGTATGTATGAAAGTTGTAGATATTTTCTTAGCTTTCCATAGAGACCAATAGTGTGTAATTTGGACAAGTATAACTCTAGTTAGAGGTAAAATACTAAGACTTGGTGAAACCTTCAGAACTTTGGCGCACTTGGCGCCGTTGTTGGCGCAAATCGCGCAAAGACAGTGGGAAAACCTCATCTGGCGCACTTGGCGCCTCCAGCGCCATTTCGATCGGGAGCTTCTGTTTCGCTGGCGCCCGTCGCGCCTCAGCTGGCGCTGGTCGCGCCGGGATCAGCAGGATTCACGCGCTCGTTTCGTAGAAAACCCATAACTTGGGCTACAGTGCTCCGATTTGAGCGCGGTTTGAACCCACGCGTAGCTAACGAAGAGATCTACAATATAGTAGAAGTTGTGAAATAAATAAGAAGTAAATTAATGGTTTAAAAATAGAATAAGAACATGATGTTAAGCTTGGTTTATCTGATTCCGCAAGGTAATATGGTTATGATCACGCAATTGGATATTTTAAATTCGGCGTCGTTTTAAAAAGAAAAATTTATCCGGATTTTTAATTGAGCCAATGTAATTGTAACTGCGCTTAATATTATAATGCGATGTTAACAAACCGGTTCTAGAACGGGGTGTTACAAAAATCAAAAACATTAAACTCTATATCAATTATTCTTACCTTTTTTATGCTATATTTTCATGAAAAAAATATGTATCATTTTAAAGGGTATAAAATTATGTTATTTTAAATGAGAGAAAGAGATAAATAAAAAAGAAAAGAAAATGAACAAAAAAATATAAAATTGTTGATCCCACCTCTTTGTGAGAATAAAATAACATAAATTATATCAAAACGTTTTTTTCTATTTTCTTATATTCAACTTTGTTCAATTCAAGGTCCTGGTTGAAGGCCTGGATTTGGACGAGATGATGGACGTTATTGTGTCGAGTTTGTTGCTTGAAAAGATCAACTTAAGTTACCAGTTCAACCACCTAAGAAACAATGCAGAAGACAAAAATTTGTAACTAGGTATTTTATAGTCCCTAAAAAGTGCATAAGACATCAATCTTAAAATCAGTCAAGGTTGCAAGTAGAAACCTCGATGTTTTCATAGATGTATATAAGATTTACTGACAAACTAAAAAGATGCAACGCAGACAAATTTTCACATCACACTACTAAAAATCCAAAAGCGAAATAAAGACAAAAAAAACTACAGAACAAAACTTTAGTATCCACCATCATTTAACAAACTAAGACACCATCATCCATTATCAACTATAGACATTAGACCTTCAGTCGTTTAGTCCACTTCCTCCATCTTGCTCTCCTCGGCACCGTCCTCTTCCAACGGAGGCATGTCAACATCATCCCCTCCAGTCTCATCCTCATCAATGCTGAGACCCAATTTCAGCATCCTGTGAATCCTCGCAGAAAAGGTGTTGGGATCATCAAGGCTAAAACCTGAGGTCAAGAGGGCTGTCTCAAAGAGAAGCAAAACAAGGTCTTTAACTGACTTATCATTCTTGTCGGCTTCAGCCCTCTTCCTCAACTCCTCCATAATGCCATTATCAGGGTTGATCTCCATCGTCTTCTTGCTTGACATGTAACCACTCATGCTGGTGTCTCTCAAAGCCTGAGCCTTCATGATCCTCTCCATGTTTGCAGTCCATCCATATTCACCAGTTACCAAACAGCAAGGGGAATCAACAATCCTGTCTGAGACAACTACCTTTTCAACCTTATCTCCCAAGATCTCCTTGATGGTCTTGCAGAGGTCCTCAAATGACTTCTTCTTTTCCTCCTTTTTCTTTTTCTCTTCTTCAGTCTCATCATCCAATTTCAATCCTTCCTTGGTAGCTGAAACCAATTTTTTGCCATCATACTCTTTCAGTTGTCCAACGGCATATTCATCAATGGCATCCACCATATAGAGCACCTCATAACCCTTCTTCTTGAGTCTCTCCAAGAATGGAGAGTTCTCCACAGCCTTTTTGCTCTCTCCAGTGATGTAGAATATGTCTTTCTGGCCCTCCTTCATTCTGGTAACATAGTCCTTCAAGCTCGTCAACTCATCTCCACTCTTTGTAGAGTGGTATCTGAGCAAATCAGCCAACTTGGTCCTGTTTTGGCTATCCTCGTGGATACCCAACTTCAGATTTTTCGAGAAAGCCTCATAGAACTTATTGTAATCTTCCTTGTTCTCCGCAATCTCATTGAACATCTCAATGCACTTCTTCACAAGGTTCTTCCTGATCACCTTCAAGATCTTGTTCTGTTGCAACATCTCACGAGAGATATTGAGTGGCAAGTCATCAGAGTCAACAACACCTTTCACAAATCCAAGGTACTCTGGCATGAGCTCCTCACAATTGTCCATGATAAAGACCCTTCTAACATAAAGCTTAATGTTGTTCATCTTCTTCCTGGTATCAAACAAATCAAAAGGCGCCCTTTTCGGAACAAAGAGAATAGCCTTGAATTCAAGCTGGCCTTCCACAGAGAAATGCTTCACGGCCAAGTGGTCTTCCCAGTCATTTGTCAGGCTCTTGTAGAAAGAAGCATATTCATCCCTGGTGATCTCCTCTGGCTTTCGCATCCAAATTGGCTTCTGCTTGTTGATGAGTTCCCACTCGTGAGAAACCTCCTTTATCTTCTTCTTCTTCTTAGAACCTTTCTCCTTCTCCTCATCAACATCCTCAACTTCCCCTTCTTCCTCCTTCTTGGGCTCATCATCTTCATCATCACTGATCTCTTTCTCGGTGGTCTTCTCAGTCCAAAGGTAAATAGGATAGCTAATAAATTCGGAATGTTTCTTCACAAGATCCTTGATCCTCCTCTCCTCCAAATATTCCAACTGTTCAATTAAGACAAACATCAATGAATAAAAAGTTCAATAAGAAAAAGAGCACAACTTCCAAACTAGAGAAAACAAATCGGTTGAGTAAAAATAAAATAAAAAATCCATTTCTCAACAAAATTACAACATGGGTCGAGTAAGAAATCCAATTTTTGCAACAAATTAACATAGTGAGTCGCAAAAAAAAACAAAAAAAAAAAAAAAACAAAAAGAAACTCAATTCTTCAACAAAACAATGTAATGGGTAGTGTTAAAAAATAAATAAATAATTAAACTACAAAACAACATGAAATTGAGTTGTTGTACATTACCTGATCCTCCTTGAGGAAAAGGGTGATCTTGGTTCCCCTACCGAGTTGCTCGCCACTGGTGTCCCTCGTAACGGTGAAGGAGCCACCAGCCTGCGATTCCCAAATGTACTGTTCATCATCATTGTGCTTGGTGGTGACAATAACCTTCTCGGCAACGAGGTACGAAGAGTAGAACCCAACACCGAATTGACCAATCATGCTGACGTCAGCACCAGCCTGCAACGCCTCCATAAACTCCTTGGTCCCGGACCTCGCAATGGTACCCAAATTATTGACCAAATCTTTAAGAGAGAAAAACACGGAAAAAAAACACACAAAAAAAATAAAAAAATCAACAAACCAAAGTCAGAAACAGACATCCAAAACAAATAACTCTGGAAACTTCAAACAAACATGCGATCGAATACTTCATTTACCTGCTTTGGTCATGCCAACGCCGCTATCAATGATGGATAGCGTCTTGTTAACCTTGTCGGGGACAAGCCTAATGAAGAGCTCTGGCTGAGCATCGAGCTTGCTCTTATCCGTTAAGCTCTCAAATCGAATCTTATCCAAAGCCTATGGTACACCATAAAACCAGAATTTCAAACAACGTAACACTCACAGAATAAACTTAAATCAATTACTCAAATGCATACTAACCTAAAATTCACACGTTACAATCATGTAATCAGCTTTTATGTAACTCGAAAATCGCACGCTCAAATCACATACCAGAAAGTCACATCTTCCAATTACACAATGTAATTATTGGCTTTATATCACTCTAGGGTTACATGTTTAAATTATACAATCCGTTAATACTAAATTGCAGTTTTTAAGGTCTGATTTGTTTAAATTTCAAGAAATGATTCGTTAAACAAGATGAGTGAGAGATTGAGGAGGCTTACATCAGAAGCGTTGCTGATGATTTCACGCAAGAAGATCTCCTTGTTGCTGTAGAACGTGTTGATGATGAGGCTGAGAAGCTGGTTAATCTCAGCCTGGAAAGCGAAGGTTTCTGCGTCCGCCATTGAAACTCGTAAAGATAATTGCAGAGAAAGCGAACCGTAGAGAGCGAGTGAGTTAAAACGGTAATTGCAGAGAGCGAGCGAGCGAATCGGTTAAAAAACACAAGCTTGCGACTGTGTGTGAAGGTTATCGACCAGGGAGAGGTTTATATAGTAAGGCAATGAAGTGGCGCGAAAAACTGGTTCTGGAGTCTTCTACAGCTCTCTCGACTCTCCGTTATTTTTTTTTTTTTTTTTCTCTTTCTGAATAAGTGGCGAGGGGACAGACGGTGTCGTTTTAGTTTGGTTGTTTTAATTGTAAATTTAATAGAAACGCGAACTTTCCTATCAAACGGTTCAGTCCAGAATCTTCCCATGTTTATTTCCTTCTCTACGGTGGATTTTCTTGGATTATTCAATATCGTCATGCTTTAAAGCGGGAGAAATTATGGGATGTTTGAAATTTGTTTTGAAAAATAATCTTTTGAAATTATGGGCATTTTTTGTAAGATCTGTTTTGTAAAAAAAATTAAATTTTTTTTTTATTTATAATGAAATTTGGCGGACATAATTGAGTTATTTTTGTTTTATATTTTGACTTTTAACTTTAAAAAAATTATTTTATTAATTATTCTATAAAATAATTTTAAAAACAAAAAAAATCATAACACAATAAAACATGGGTTATGTTTATATCATTTTACATGAGATAAACATCTCTCCTACACACACAAAAAGAGGTTGGGTCCCTCTATTTTTTTTTTTCTCTCCTCTTACATGTAAGTCTCACTTATACTTTTGTTTCTACAACATAAGGTAATTCTTTTCCTACAACATAAGAAAAATATATCCCATAAAACATACCCTTATCCAGAAACCATCATGCTCTATAAACAACATTGACCATATCTACGGATTAGTGGTCATTACAACCATTATGTTTCAAAGTCTAATAACCATAAACATGGTGATCCCAACATCAATGAATTCCAATTTTTTTTTTTGGATACAATGAATTCCAATAATTTATTATGCATTAAATTTCAATTTAGTTACCGTGAACACATTCGGTTCTGGCTATTCTGTGAAATAGAAATTTATGTATGTATTTATATATTTTGTATTGTTTGATATGATATGATTTGTGATGTTGTTTTGTTTGACAACTTGTTTGATTTAATTGTTTGATAATCTGTAACGCCCCAATTTAATAATTGAATTGTTAACTACATATGGTGATACTTTTCACATCTAATTAAATTAAAGTAGCGGAATACTTAATAAAATTTCTAATTACTCGATGCAATTTTGCGGTATGACTTTTTCTTTTTAATTAATTCCTACGCATTGCTATAACTATATTATATTTTTTTTCCCCAGTAAATTGTACAGTCCTATACCTATACAGAATTCCAAATTAAATTTCAAGTGACCATAATCAATGACCAATAACTATTCGAATACGATAATTTATACCCTTTTGTATAGAGTTTAACGGACAGCATAACGACTGTAAATTGAACTATACCAGGGATTAAATCACATTATCTACAAATATATATACTGAATATGGTTCTGTGCCAATACAACATCAAACTACTTGACTTGATAATACACACATAGGCAAACACATGCCTCACAAAATGATTATCAACTATATACATGCATGATCATATACTTCATGCACTACAAAACATGTCTACATAGACATCCAAAATAGCTAAGTACCCACTCTTGTAGAGTCTTCTATCCTCACTGAACTGGTCATTTTTCCTTTGAGGTTCTCCTGTTGCTGATGTACCTGTAATTTAAATTGCAGCCCTACAACGAGGTGAGAAATAAATCCCAATAAGACTCTGGGTTCATAGAGTAGTCTCCACCCCAAGAGTTCACTTTCTGCATGTAAGGTCAGATATAAAGCATATAATACAACATGTAATTTTTTTTTTATAGACATACAACATGTAATTTTATTAGTATATCCTACAGATTATATCTCACTTATTGTATCTCATTGACTGTATCTCACTGACTTGTTTCAGAAGCCTTTATACTCCCCTATATCCTACAGCTTTATATTACAGAAGATTTATACTTCCCTGCTTGATGATAATATGGAAGATTTATACTTCCTTGCTGTTTGTAATACAGAAGATTCATATTTCCCTGCTTGATGATAATACGGAAGATTTATACTTCCCTGCTCATATAATTTAATATTAATATATTATATAACTAAGAACACATTTCTACATCTTGATTACTTAATCATCTTTCTAGGTCTTGATTTCTTGATAATCTTAATACTAAAGAAGATTTATACTTCTGCAATTCATCTTTATATTTTTACTACGGAAGATATGTACTTCTGTTATCCCACTTTCTTCCTGTCTACTCTACTTGTCTACTCGCACTATATCACATCACAATATCAATTTATATAAATTAAACACATCATCAATGTATTTGTCTATATGAGTGCACATGTATGCATTTATACTGAATATCTCACTATCAATCATATATACAATTTAACCGTTATCCTTAATGGACATTGGTGGAACAACAAAGACAGAGAAAAACTCCTAACCAAGAGCTTATCTATCAGTGCTTTTATATCACGCTTACTTGGTATACAAGTAATTTTTGCAAAATTCACAGAATCCTGACTTGGAATCACCGTATTACCTGCTACACATTACAATACTTGTTTACTACTATACTTAAAATTTCATGCCATACACAAGTCAAACCTAAATACCTACAACTTGACCTATATTTACATAATATAAAACCTACTTAATCATATTTCCAATTAAAGGTTCATCATTCTAATTTTGCTTGATACATACTTCAAATTCATTTTTAAGCTCCGTCATTAAACAACTTAATTTTTAATCCAATAAACCACTAAGTGGCCATACCTATATGTCTCATTTACTCACATTTTTCAAGCTTAATACTTATAAATTTAAGTGCCATTTCACCAAAATACATACCAATAACACCAAACATCAATTAATTACACAAAACAGTCCATAAAGCTGAATTTTTACCGCATGAACAGTCTGCACTATAAAATACACTAAAATTCCATTTTAAATCCAATTTATCTTAATTTTTTATATGTTAAACTAGACATGTGTGCCTTTAATTTTCAATAAACTACACTTAATTTAGAGTTCTACAACTTCAGATATAAATTTGTGAAAACAGGGAAGATTTGAGGTCTAAAAGGTTTCACGAATTTTTTAAACTTCCAATGATTCAAACTTAATTCAATCAACTCCATACTCAACAAAAACCATGAATACACATCAAAACACAACATATACACATGATCTAACATCATACATAGTTATCCCCAATTCATAAACCATAATTTAAAATCCATGAAATGAAGTTAAAGGAAGGTAGTTAGTTACCTTAAACCACTCCTTGGTGCATATTTCCTCAGTTTTTCTTCAACAAGACATAAAAACACCTCACTTCCTATTGATGGGAGCCATGAGGTCACAAGAAAAATAGGAGAAAAGATGAACATGTGAAGCTCCTCTCAAGGATTAAAAGCCATGGTTATGTTCTACTAGCTACAAGGATGATTTTCTCTCAAAGTATCTATGAATTTTAGTGACTAGAGAAGCAAGTTCTCAAGCTCTTCCTCACAACCGTGAAGTCATGGTTTTTAAGAGGTACTAAGTGAAGATTTTTTCCTTCTTAAGAAAGAAGAACCAATTTGTTTAGGAAGAAAAATATCAAGCCACTTATATTTATTTTCAAGGCTATTTCTCTTGATTTGTTGGCTTCCTATTGGTTCACAAATGAAACACTCTAAACACTCCTTTCCTTCCCACTTGTGCGCTGATTTGGAGTCCTTATAAGACAAGGAACACCAGATTTTTTTGTTCAAAATATCTATATAACATATTAACTAGTTAGCTTTTAAAATAACTAAGTTATCTTTAATTCTATTGGCTAATTAAATTCATACTTTGTCATATTTTTAACAATTTATCTAATCATCCCCTAATTAATCTAAAGATACCTTGACTCAATGAAATTTACCACTCAATTTAATTACGTCCTCTAATTCAAGTTTAAAACTAGTTTTGCTTACTTTTAAGTCACATTGATTTATATTCATTCTTATTGGTTGATTTTTCTTAAACTTTGACTCATTTTTAATTATTAATCTAATCATCATTAGACTAATCCAAGATCATATTGAACCCACTAAATTCTCTAAAGAATTTAATGATAACATCCAATTCAAGTTTTGACCACATCTAGTCTATTTTTCAAGTAATTCATGACTTTATCTATAATGACATATACGTCCTGAATTCTCTTCATACATATATTTATGTACTATATGACTTGCTTGGCATGAAATGTATCGCTCTGTATCTCATTATCTCAATTTCATGATCAATGGATCATTACTTGACATAACTAATCACAATTTCTATGAACACCACTTATCTACATAACTCTTGCTTGATTTCCTTATTAATCTAACTTGCTAACGAGGGTTGTTATATAATACACTTTTTTTTATTGATTTACGTTTACAAGTGTAGTTGATATTTTTATCGTTATCGTGATTGTACTATTTAAATTTGAGAAGAAAAAGACAAGGTTATGTAAGTTATTGTGGATGCTATGATACTTGAAAATAATTTTCCCAGAGTATCAAGTTAACATGAGAAAGTGAAAGCTTCTATGAGAACTTTAGCATTAGATACGGTAAGAGTTTTCTATAAGGATTTTAGTATTTGATTATTTAAAATATTAAAATGCTAAGTGTAAATTTATTGTAAGATTGTTGTAAGTAGAAATTTGTATTTATATGCTTAATAATTGTACTGCTTTATTTGATAAATAATTACAGCAAGTTGTGTAATGGACAGTAATGAATGTGTATAATCAATTGTAAGGTATAAATTAATTAAAGTTATTTGTAAGAAAATTTGCACATTGTTTGCTATATGTTTCAATGCATGAACTGTATGTCTATGCTATTCTACGTACACTATCCAATTATGCAGGAAGTGAGCTTCAGAATGGAAGAATATTCTACAAACATTTAGTTTACTGGGATTATAAATCCCACCCCATGTTTAGGGATAAGTGATCGGACTG